GATACAAGGATTCACATAATTAAAGATTGACTTAGCAGAAGTATAGTTTCAATTATTGATCCTTTGGGATTATTTTTCCAAGTCTGTACAGGAAATTTGCACGGCTAACTCCAATTAAAGCAAGTGGCATTGAAGGAAATCCAATTCCTATCATTGGTGCTCAGTGAGTCCTTGCTTCCATGATGTTAAGAGCTGTTGTTGCAGATTCTGTTATGGCTAGGATAAAATATGATTTTGTATGAAACTGAACACAGATTTCCCATGATATACAGCAGGACCCAGTTCAACAGATTTGCAGTTTGTTGAAAATGGCTAGGAATGACTTCGAACTGTGTTTCTCAGGCTCATAAGGAGCCCTTTGTCACATTGCCACCGTGCTGTGTGCCTGCAAAATTAATACCTACGCTATATGTGTGTTTCCAAAAGGAGAAATTGTATTTTCTGAAATTTGTGTTTGAAAGTGGAAATCACATTCAAGGGGGCCTGGAAAGCAAATGTGTTAGATAAAACTCTTGGCTTGAATTAATACTTTTATTGGTGAACACTCAGAAACAAAGGAAAAAGAACACACATTAGAAGAGTTGTCTGTCAACTCATGATGTTAATGCATCGATAATCAGCTTTATCATGCCCGTCTCCAAAGATTCAATTCCATCAAGATACTTGCTGCTAAGCTCCATAACCTTCCTGTTGCTGTGTAGAAAAGGAAGCAACAAACTCAGCATATTCTTATGTATGGTTTAAACGAAAAGAACAAAACCAGGCAACAGCACCATGTGGCACATTCATGTCAAATAACCCTAAAATCTATAGCTAGCCCATAATGGGTTCCATGCTTTCTTGTGCTGATTTATAGCTACAGCTTCAGCTCTGGAAATCATAAATGTGGTGAAAATGTACAGTTGGATGACTTTTGCACCTGATCAGTCTGGAAAGCCAAAGTCCCAAATCTTAACTTCTTTAATACAGGTTTTTGTTTATATATTTCTAAACATGAATTGGATTGCATTGTCCTCCATAACATAGTTCACTCTGGCAGTTTTTCAGATAGCTATTTAATCTAATCTAGGGCATGAGTTTAGAGTTACCTTGAACAAAAGAGAGTAACATTAAAGAAATTGTACATAGACATGTAAACTATGGTTAATAGCACATTTCACATCCTCATATAAGGGATGGAAAGGAGAAAGGGAAGGAATCCCTTCAGATTTTAGTCCTCTAATCATTGCCAACTATAGGGGGCAATACTCATCTCCATTTCAAGGTCGTTGAGCACTGTCAAAAGACATTTCTGCAGTCATGTGGCCAGCATGATGTCACGGAGTGCTGTTTCCTCCCCACCAAAGTGGTACCTATTTATCTACTCACATTTTCATGCTTTCGAACTGCTAGGTGGGCAGGAGCTAGGTGAAGATGGGTGACCACCTTCTTGTGTGACACTCGGTTCTCAACCTGGGCTGTGGCTTTTGAGCTGACAAGCCCAGGATCTTACCCACTGAACCATCGCCCTGCCCACATCCTTCTATAGGAATCCACAATTTCAGCCAGAATAGAGTTTTGGGTTTCTTTTCTTTTTTACATTAAAGAGTTTTTGGTATCTACTTACAAAGTGTTGGCTTTGGCTAATTGAATGCTGACAGCTGATGCAAACTAATGAGCAGTAAAGAGTATTTGGAGCTAAAACTCCTTAATGTATGATATAACCAAGGCAAGCATAACAGCCTTCTTTAACCAGGTGCCCTCCAGATGTATTTCTAGAATTCCCAACCAAACAAATAGATGATATTGCCTGGAAATTCTGGGAATTGATATTCAGCATATCTGAACAACCTCCATTTAAGGAAGACTACAATTGGTCAAATATATTTGCACTTGTCACCACATCACAAGTAACTTGTAATCATTCAAACCTAGAATATTATTCTTCCACTCGACCAGTTTTTATGATGTATATTATACAAAATAGCCATTTGACATACAACAAACCAGCTCAAAAATAGTTAACATTTCTAAACAGACAATATGCTTTCTGATTTATCTTACTTTCCAACAAGTAATTTCAAAAATTAATAAATAGCATCCACTTATCCTTTATTAATATTACATCCTTTCTGTATTCATAACTGGGTTAACATAATGAGTTCCACAACAATCCACCCTCTGTGTAGCAAGAAGAAATGTATGGCCACAGTTCCCCCTCCCCCTCCGGCTTTGGAGATTATTTCCATTCTTTTAGCAGACAAAAAAAATCATAATAATTTCCATGTCTGACTATCTTTACATAATCTTTCAAATAATCAAGTAAAATGACTTACAGTTACAGGAGAAAGTTTATAATATGATGATTTGGATACAGGTTATAGCAGATGTCAGTTCTACCAAAAAGCTGAATTTAACATGTGCAGTGTATATATTTCCAAAGCATAAATCTGATATTCATTCATTCATTTGTCCAGTTAAGCTACATCCTAGCCCCATGCTTATTGTACAAAATAAATGCACCTCCTCTGGGTATAATTCTTTCTTTAAATTTTACATCTTTTTTTTTTAGAAAAAATGCATAAATACATATATCCAAAACAATAAATATTCATGCTTCCTTTGTTTATAATCAAGACTAAAATTCAATTAAATGCTGCAATGAGATATTAATTCAGTATAATCGTGGAAATGCATGAGAAGAGAGTGATGAGTTTTCAGAAAATTAAGGGCATAATTAATGCCCTATCCCTTTGTTACAACTATGTGTGCACAACATATAGCAGAAAACTATAAATTGTCAACTCCAGATGAGTACTTGTTTGTTAAAAACAATTATCTGGTCTCTTTAAAAAAATCTGCCAAATAACCATCAGCCATCAAACTTGTCAAGCTTGGAAAAACTCACACTTGGTATACACCCTGATCAGCGTGCCTCTGCTTGTATATACCATTTCTAAGAACATTTGGAACAGACTGATATGTTTTTCAAGCAGATTCAAAAGATGGCCATGCAAAAGAATTTCCATTAGAACTCGTTGCATGCGTAACTGTAATCTCATTTAACTAAAAGTTTATTGATCTCCAAAGAAAGTATTTTGGCAATCAGCTGAGTTTTTTTGTGTGGATAAACTAGCCTACAGAGTTTTTTTAAAAGGACTTTAGATACTTGTTAGGCAAACTCACTGACCAGCATTAGACTGTTAGATTAGCATGCATACTATATTATTGTGGTTCAGGGAGTGCATTTTATGTATTTAAAACAAACAAACTGACCATTTTAAGCATAAATCTGAAGCTATTAAGACCATTCTCAAGTCCAGTTGCACTTGAGATTTAGGTGAAAGAGTGAGATATAATTATAGTTTTGATTAAGTGGTATTGAGCTTAGAGGCAGAGACAGAAGAACTGATTATTCCTTTGGCATTCTTGATTTGACTTAAAGAAACCCAACTCGCTACACTAATGAAACTGTATTTGTGGTTTAAAAGGCAATTGTTGGTCTGTTTCAGTTCTTACTGAAAATGTTTCCCCAATCTTACTAAAATATTGCACTTATGTTAGAATTTTATAGCCATGTAGGTTACTAGCCCCTCAATTCTTTGTGTTTCCTATGTTTTTGCCGTATAGTGGATTAATGGGGAAGCTAAACATTAGAAGCGAGCAGCCATCAGCAAATGCAAGATCATAATTAGTTTAGCTGACGAGGGCCTCTGATAGCGCTTACATCTGGATGGAAAAATTACCCTATAGGGAACTGGCTGATCACCAGGTCTTTTTAGTGATACATTGCGAAACACCCGATGAATCAAATGCCCTTTCTATGCCAAGAAAGTGTTCCACGCTCCAAGCCAAAATTATGTCTGCAAAAAGCTTTCCATTTGAAATGTATCAGAGTACAATTATAACCATTGTACTTTCTTGGCACCAGCACTCCTTCCCTACAGTATGGAGTAAAATTAAACGAATTGCTTAAATTTGAGGAAACCTTGAAATTTTGATTTACAAGGTTAGTAATTTTTAAATTTAGAACTAAATCAGTTTAAGCTTTTTTTTTTTTTTTGCTGAAATGGTTCGCCCTTCCACAGTTGTGCAAAATGAAGAACTCTTAATAAATGTTTATTTTAAAAAAGAAACTTGAAAAGATTTGCTTTCCTTAGAAGAGGGGAAAATAGCCATGTCATAATTATTAACGGTTATGTCTATAAAGTCAGCCTGTAGTGCTTTATTTTGCCGTGTTCTTCTTCTGTGAAATTCTTCACTAATTTAAACAATATCTTTATACGATAGAAGAAATCTAACGGATCATTCTCAGTTGCGGGATTAAGAAAGCTGTGGAATTCAATCACACCATCATTTATGTTCACTTTGCATTCCTATAAGTATACTTTACACCATCTGCTGATGAGACAACATCATGTGGTTTTATCACCAAAGTAGAGCTTTATATACACCTTCATAGTACTAAATTTGAGCCATGCTTTCAGTGGGCTTTAGGAAATAAAAAGCAGCATATGTGATTTTTATAACTACGTTAGCCTGTAATTTAACACTTTGCATCTTGTTAGAGAGATAGAAAGACTTTTTAAGAACCGAAATAAGGCTACATGCAAATTGAAATTAATTGGAAAGATGTTTATTTATGTTTTAAGTGTTTAAGTGTTGTTGATGATCACACCATTAAAATAACTCAAAATCCAGGGGGGGAAAATACCTAAGAGCAACTCTAAAAAAAATATATATTTTAAAATTCAGGGCACCAAATCTGTTCATTAAAAGGCACAAATTCAGTAGTTTACCAAATTAAAACTTTGGAGGAAAACAAAAGTATTTGTGTTTTGCACACTTGATCTATTAGTGCAGGGTAAATTGTCATGAAAATCTGCATTATGTTCAGTGCAGTGTAATTTTATACTATCAAGATAAATAGAAAACTGTTGTATACATTTGCCATATTTACAGATCACGTGACTAACCTTTGACATTTTTTTTTCCTTTCTTTTTTCCGTCCCCAATTTTAGAGACGTAGAGGTTCGGGTGTTTTTTGTGCCAATTGCCTGACCACAAAGACCTCACTCTGGCGAAAGAACGCAAATGGAGGATATGTCTGCAATGCGTGTGGTCTCTACCAGAAGCTTCATTCGGTAGGAAGAACTTGCTTGTTTTATATTGGGAAGGTTTTCAGCAACTCAGCTGAAGTTGGGCAGCTGTGGTTAATTTCCTAACTGCACATTTTCTTCAGTGTGGTCACTCCAGAATCAGATGTGATTCATTATGGAAGATGCTGATATGCCATAGAGAAGGGGAGTCAGTGTTCGAGATGCCCAACGAGGCATTTATTTACTTGGAGACAAAACAAAGAATAAAAATGGAGCTATTTCCTTCTTTCACACAAGACGTCCACAGAATTATATCAAAAAAGGAATATTTCAAGATTCCTTCCTTCTCATGACGGAGAATTGAATTGAATTGAATTGAATTTATTACATTTTTATACCGCCCTTCTCCCAGAGGGACTCAGGGCGGTGAACAGCCAGGATTAAAATACATACAATATGAAAATTAAAATAGTTTAAAACATAAGTAAATCCATTTGGCTTCCCCAATTTAAAAACCCCTTACCCATAAAACAATTAAAAATTTTAAGCCAGCCCGGCTTGCTGAAAGAAGAAGGTCTTCAGAGCCCGGCGGAAAGTACGGAGGTCCGGGATCAATCATATCCCTAGGGGTAGCTCGTTCCAGAGGGCGGGTGCCCCCACAGAGAAGGCTCTCCCCCTGGGGGTCGCCAGTCGACATTGCTTGACCGACGGCACCCGCTGGTAGTGTAGCTTGAAGCTTATGAAAAAGTTCAGTTCCAGTCTCAAAGGTGCTTTTTCAAGAGGCAACTGGACTTTCTGTTTTTTCTTTGAAGACGTTTCGCTTCTTATCAAAAAGCTTCTTCAGTTCTCTTGGATAAGAAGCGAAACATCTTCAAAGAAAAGCCAGAAAGTCCAGTTGCCTCTTGAAAAAGCACCTTTGGGACAACCATGACCTGGGCGACTGAGAATCTCCATCCAGGACATTCAGTTCCTAGTATCTTCAGGTTGATCTGGAAACCTAGCATCAGCCAACCAGTCATATAGAAAGTACTAAACTTAAAAGGATTAATATTCTAACTTTAATTCAAGACAACTCCTTAATGTCTCTAATTGAAAGGAATCGTATAAGGAAACATAAATATGTATGAATTGATGGCTAATTATTTTCTCCCTCTATTCCAAGTATACCTCCAAGTCTTGCTGAGCATCTTATCATGGTGGGGGGAGGGTTGTGTGTTTCCTGGGAGAGTTGAGTGAAGGACCTAGGAAATGTATGCCAAATTTGTGTAACCCCAGGATACTCCCAGAAAAGTCACCCAAGGTATAAAGATAATCCCAGATCATTATGGATAGAATTTATCTATATGGTTGCTAAGAGTGACACTGACTTGAAGGTAATTAATTAATCAACCAATCAATCACCCAGGTGGTCTGAAAGAGAAGAAATAAAATTATACTGACCAGGTTTTTCCCATGGTTTTCCTAAGCAGTGTATTTATTTATTCTGGGGGGTTAACTATATAAATAGTTATCCAAGTTATCCATGTTCATCCAAGATAACATGAATTATATAAAGTGTGATATTCTAAAATAGGTTATATCTTTCGGTGTATATTAGTGCCTCCTTTCTGATTAAACATCTAAATAGTACCAAGCCTTTGCAGGATTTCCTGCCCTCTTAGCCCTAAATTTATTTTCATGAAACCACTCTGCAAATTTAGACAGTCTATGATGATCTTCAACTTATTTCAGCCTATTTTTGCCAGCCATATATTGAATAAGCCAGTCTTGAGTTTGGTTGCTGCTGATGGCATCATTATGCCATCATTATCATCATTATGTTAATGGCTCTGAGCCCTGGCTTAAAATCAGAAAGGCAGGAAAAGCTTCAGGAAGTTTTCTGTTTCTGATTTAAATTGATCTGATTCTTGGGTAAAGGATATGGTTGAATTCATAGGAATCTCCAGCTATTAGCTGGCTTAAACTAGTGTTTCTCAACCTTAGCAACTGAGGAAAAAAAAAACTGGCCTAAAGTAATCTATGGATCAACATTCAGTTTTTTACCAGTTTTCACACTTCGTGAAGGTTCCATTCATTTATTTTTAAAAGGTCTTGGTTTACTTCAGTTGTGATACTGTGTCATACATTAGCTAAAATGGAAAATTATATCTAATTAACCTCAAATGGGTTGGACTGCAACATGTAAAGAGAAAAAAAGAGCCAAATAAAACAAAGATAAGAGCACACAGCTCGTTTATATTTTGATTTATTATAAATGCTTTTTGTTTATTTCTTTGTTTGAAGTGGGCCAGAAGGTTTTATTCATTAAACAAATTTATATGGCTGCCCAATTCACACACAGTGACTCCAGATAGCTTAAAAATTAAAAAAAATCAGAAGCATACAATCGGAATCATACAATCCTATTTCTCCTATATTGACAACAACCAACCACTTGATTGGCTCTGAATCAGCTTAGGGTCCCCAGGCCTGCCTATAGAACCATAACTTCAGGGTCTTCTGCAGGGGTGAAATTCACTTACCTTCCCTACCGGTTCGCAAATGTGCACGTGAGGCTGAAAATCATCGCAAAAAAGGGACATCATGACGTCCGCGCGGGTGGGCGGAGCCTCCCGCAACCACCGCTACCGGTTTGCCTGAGCCGGTTAGAACTGGCTGAATTTTACCCCTGGTCTTCTGGAAAAGTAACAAAGTGGGGACCAATCTTATCTCCAAGGAATAATATTCCATAGGGAGGGAGCTACCACTGAGAAGGCCCTTTTTGTTGATCCCACCAGATGTATTTCTCTAATAGATGGAACCTAAACATGTAAAAATGGTTAACTTAGTGCAACAAAGTTTTACTTGTCAATTGAAGGTTACTTTTTAAAATGCCTTTAATTTTGCACAAGGGTTTGTTTTTTTTTTTTTTTGCTATGGTAAAAAATATAGAATTACTAATAACTACTAGAATAATTTTCTTTGGCATGGGCCTCTGTTGGAGGAAGCAAGAGAAACAAATGACAACATTATTACCCAAACACTGTGATTTACATACTTATGACAAATGTCATGACTCGTGAGTCATTTATTTGTATGATTACATCATCACTCATGTGTCATTATTTTGGCATCCTTGCAGTTTGCTATGGATGGCATCGAGGGATTTTTAAAAGCTGGTTTAAAAGAAATCAATTATTAATGCCAATGCTAATTGGTAGTAAGTTGGAGCTACATTTATTTTTGTGAGTAGAGAGCTAAGGTAAAACCATTTTAAATACTAGTCTTGAAACAAGCTACTAAGTTTCTACTTGATACCCCCTAATGGTTAATGAGTTTAATTTTACCCAAGCAAAGGGCGAAAGTGTTGCTAAACATTAAATTTGCTACAGTGTTAGCAATAGGGAAAAAAAGACTATGTAATTAAATGTAAACACTAGAGGGTTCTTCATTTAAAAAGTATCAAGAATGTACCGTTTCCCCCAAAACAAGACATCCCCTGATAATAAGCCCAATCAGGCTTTTGAGTGCATGGCAGTAAGGCCAAGCGCTTATTTCAGGGTTCAAAAAAATATAAGACAGGGTCTTATTTTCGGGGGGAAACGGTATATCCAGTGGATGAATTTATACCCCAGTAAATAGGACAAGGATTCTGGGAGACAGTGGAGGACAAAGGACGGGGTGGCATTCTGTGGTTCATGGGGTTGCAAGACAACTTAGCAACTGAACAACAAGAGCAAATAGGGGTAGACCTTACTTTCAGGAAAAAAACAATACAATTAACGGTTCCACTGCTACTGTCTATTTTTCTATTTTGCCTAATGCAATGGGTCATCCCATCCTTTCTGAGCCTTTCTGATTCCCTCCCAAATCTCTTCTGTGATGTGCGTAGGCAGGTTTTGGACCTGATTATGGAGTCATGACTGGGGTGCCAGGGAAAAATGAGAACAACAAATCCCTGCTGTAGAAACAGAAACAAACTTTGGCAACCTTGGAAGCATCCTTTATTCACATTCATGGATTTCAGACTTGAATGTTAATATGAATGTTACCACGTTACCACCTGATTTTGCCTAGAGAGAATCAAACAAACAATACTTTTCATAAGGAGCATGTGTTTACTACTTCTCTGGGCTTTCAATGTGCTGCCCCTGGGTGGTGACTTCTGTAGCAGTTGACGTTGGTCAAACCATTCTTAGCACAACATGTTTCTGCTGGGTAGGGAGTTCCTGAGGTTGCTGAGGATACCAGGGGCCGGGTGGAAATCAGTGGTGAAATTCAGCCAGATCTATCCAGATTATGTGATCTGGTAGTGCCGGCAGCAGGAGGCTCCACCCACCCAGCCAGATGTCATAATGTCCCATTTTTTACGCTCTGCGCATGCGCAGAAGATTCTGTGCATGCGTAGAGGAGGTGCGCGCTCGTGCTCCCATTTGCGAGCCAGTAGGGAAAGGTAAGTGAATTTCACTGCTGGTGGGAATGTCATGGTGTCACTGGAGAGGCAAGGGTAGAATTTTTCAGACTCTCTTTCTGTAAGTTGAGTACTTTAAACCATAATACCTACATTTAATCTGTCCAAGATTAACATTCATTCATTCATTCATTCATTCATTCATTCATTCATTGTTCCCACCCAAATGTACTGAACCAGGGATTGAGGAAGAGGAAAGAAGAGACATGCCTGAATTTTCAGGGTTATTTTTCTTTGGAGATTTTTCAGAACTCTGATATGAAGTGTTATAATCCACCCTGCCATTTCCCTCCCATTTATTTTGCTGTTTTTGGAGACGTTTCATTGAGTGCATTTTTTCTTGTTCTTGTAATTCCACTTCTGGAAGATTTTCACTTCTGGCAATTGATGATAATCAACCATCCTTCCAATTAATGTGTTGACGACAGATTATCCATACCCCAGGAAAAAGTGGAAGTGACCCCATCCAAGCATTGCTGTTGATGGATGTCTCAGTGCCCAACTCATCTGTTTAAGACTATTGGCCTTGACATATTTTCTTCATCATGGCCTCAGTATATTACTTATACAGAGAGCCCAGATCAGCATATAATTAAGATAGTTATTTTTATCAGGAAGAAAGTCTCTGTTGCACTATGTATTTGAGCATTGTTCACTCGGTCACTTTTCAGTGTTCACAGAAGCAATACAGATAGTCTTCAGCTTCTGATCACAGGTGAGCCCAAAATTTCTGTTGCTAAACAAGACAATTGTTCAGTGAGTTTTGTCCCATTTTACAACCTTTCTTGCCACAGTTGTTAAGTGAAACACTGCAGTTGTTAATAACACGGTTGTTAGGTGAATCCGGCTTCCCTATTGACTTTTGAGTAGTTCGGAGAACCGGTAAATACTGCTTCTGACTTGCCCCACCCCCATCTATTCTCTGCCTCCCGAATCTCATCTGATCGGGAGGAAATGGGGATTTTGCAGTAACCTTCTCCTGGAGTGGGGTGGGAATGGAGATTTTACAGTATTCTTCCCCTGCCATGGCCACCAAGCCATGCCATGCCCACCAAGCCATGCCCACAGAACCGGTAGTAAAAAAAATTGAATCCCACCACTGTTCTACCAGTATTATAATAGCAATAAAATAATAGCTTTGTTTACTAAGCTTCAGATAATCTTTTGCAGGACTGGGTCTTGAGTGTTTGCCTATCATTTTCTGTAAATGCAGAAAACCAGGCAGGATTTTTCCTATAGCCAGATAATCCTCGGAGCTGTTGTTATAATAATCATAATGACATCTTTCTTCCTCTAACATGAAAATTTGCTATTCCCCCTTGTGTGATGCAGTGACTATGATAAGCAAAAACATGAGAACAGGATGCTTATTATGACTCTGCATTTTTTTTAGTGTGATTGCCTGTACATTTACACGAAACACCTTCCTTTCTCTCTCAAATGTCCTAGTGTATTATGTAAATGTAATTCGGCAGACGGACAACTAGGTCTCCTTCATATCTGTAAGAATTGTTTCCTAGACTGATAAGAAATTCAAGAGAATGTTATGCAAATAGCCAGCTGTGAAGTCTCACTGACATCTGTCAGAAAAAGAATCAGAAAGTTTCTGCTGTAATGTACAAAGGGATATATTAGTTCTAATTTGAAGACAGTTCAGTCACTAGGCTTCTTGAAAATCTGTTTCATTTATCAATAAATCCTGCTAAAGAGAACTTTGAGAATCATAATTAAAAAAGAATGATTTTTTTTTGTGTGTAAGCTGTTACCAAAGAATCTGATAATGTCACAATTATGTATCCCATGTTGAGCTCTGCACAGATGACCATTTCTTATCTTGCATCTAAATCATAAGAATATTTTTTGATTGGCAATTGTAATTGAATACAGCTTAGCAAGCAGAGATAGGCGATTAGGAGCAGAAATTAATTATCTTAGAAATTAACTTAATGGAGGCAAAGGTGAATGAAGGAGGCAGATCGGGAGATAAAAGAACAGCTCTGTAAAGTGGGTTTTATTTGCATATTAGCGTATTTGATTAATTCAAGCTGTTACAGAGTTCATTGATCACACTCTTAATCCCTTTGTATATTGCTTTTCAAGTTGATCATGGCCTGAAAATGGTTATAAATAAATGTAAATGGTTATAAATAAATATGATAGGAGATATAAAGGACAAAGAAATATAGATCATACCTAATTGAAGAAACCATACAATTTGACAATGAGTTAGATGTCCATATATGTTTCTTCCTTTCTCCTTCCTCTTTCCTATACATTTCCTTCCATCACAACCTTGAAGGTTTCATAAAGCATCCAATCTGTGAAACAATGGTTTAAAGACTTCCGTGATACAGGCTTGATACCCATATGAAACTGATGGTGAATTTTACATTCTAAGGACAACAGTTATGGTGCCTTATCACTTTCAAGGTTGTTGTATGAAGATCATGACATTCACTTCGGTGCCAACTAAAGGGATTCAAAATGTAACATGTGACATGTTTTAATTATTCAAAACGAGGGAGTCAGCTTCCTGTGCTTCACTGCCCTTGCCTCTTCCTTCCAAATAAAACCTTCCTTAAAACAGTTTCCCTGGATGGCTTGATTGGACTTAACTGAACTCTTTAAGTATATCAAGGGATTTGCATGAACAGTTTTGCAAAGCTTTGCTTAGCATTGCTCTTTTATTGATGATGTTATTGTGTTTTATATGCAGACTCCCAGGCCTTTAAACATCATTAAGCAGAACAACGGTGAGCAGATCATTAGGAGACGGACAAGAAAACGCCTTAACCCAGAGGCACTTCAGGCTGAGCAGCTAAACAAACAACAGAGAGGGAACAGCGAGGAACAAGTCAACGGCAGCCCATTAGATAGGAGGTCAGAGGATCATTTAACCGAAGGTCATCAGCGAGAAATCCAGCTTCCCAGCCTAAGTAAATATGAAGCCCAGGGTTCATTGACTAAAAGCCATTCCGCTCCTCAGTCAATACTGGTCGGCCAATCTCTGGATATTCATAAAAGGATGCAACCTTTGCACATTCAGATAAAAAGTCCTCAGGAAAGTTCTGGAGACCCAGGCAATAGTTCCTCTATATCAGAAGGAAAAGGAAGCTCAGAGAGAGGCAGCCCAATAGAGAAATACATGAGACCTGCTAAACACCTAAACTATTCACCACCCGGAAGCCCTATCGAGAAGTATCAGTACCCACTTTTTGGACTTCCGTTTGTACACAATGAGTTTCAAAGTGAAGCTGATTGGCTGAGATTCTGGAGTAAATATAAGCTGTCCGTTCCTGGGAATCCACACTACTTGAGTCATGTGCCTGGCCTACCAAATCCTTGCCAAAACTATGTGCCTTATCCCACCTTTAATCTGCCTCCTCATTTTTCAGCTGTTGGATCTGACAATGACATTCCTCTAGATTTGGCGATAAAACATTCCAGACCTGGGGCGACTGCAAATGGTGCCTCTAAGGAGAAAGCTAAGACAGCATCAAATGTAAAAAATGAAGGTTCCTTGAATGTAGTTAAAACCGAGAAAGTTGACCGAAGTACTCAAGATGATCTATCAACCAAGTGTGTGCACTGTGGCATTGTCTTTCTGGATGAAGTGATGTATGCCTTGCATATGAGTTGCCATGGTGACAGTGGACCTTTTCAATGCAGCATATGCCAATATTTTTGCACGGACAAGTATGACTTCACCACTCACATCCAGAGGGGCCTACATAAGAACAATGCACAAGCGGAAACGAATGGCAAACCGAAAGAGTAAAATTAAATAAAAAAAATAAATAATAATAATAAAAAAAAAACCTTAGCACTTAGCACAATTAAACAGAAATAGGTTTTCCTTGATGGGAATTCAATAGCTTGTAATGTCTTAAGCACTTCATATAGCAAGCATGCCTTATCCAATATACAATCTTTTCTTCTTCCCTCCTTTTGCTTCATACAAGCAAACTAAAAGTTCTTAAGAAAGACAATTATAAAAAAAAAAAAAGGATGGCAGCTGGAATGGGGGGAGGGGTAAAGGAATCAATCACTCGGGACCCATCCTGCAAAAAAAAAAAATTATAAATAAGAAAGAAAAAAAATCTATACAAAAGACACTATATCAGGGAAGGTCTCTTTGCAAAACTTAACCAGGCAGATAATGCTTTTGTTCTTGTACGAGAAACATAGCTGGCTAGAATGCAAAGATGTATAATGCTGAAGCAGGTGTACAGTACACATATGCACATTGTATAGTGAAATGGACTTGTTAAATAAACTGATGCCCAGAAATCTAGTAGTATTTTTTTTTCCTCCATTTGGGTTCACTTTGGCCTTATTGCCACAGCATCCTCCTGCCACAGCATTTCTACAATCTGGAAGGCAGTAGGGTTGTTGTTTTTTTGTTTGTTTGTTTGTTTGGTATGGTTTTATTCTGTTTTGTTTTCCAGTTGTCTCTGGTGCTAAGCCAGTGGGTAGCTGTTGTTGGATCCCCTACGACAGAGCCCTTCAATCTTTTTTGAGGTCTAGCGCAGCGGGAGCACTGCTTATGCAATAGGTCGAAGACCAGGAGCGTTCATTTTCAGCCACAGCTGTTCCTTCCCTTTCACTCTGAAATCAAGTAAATAACAAAATTCTCAGGAAAGATGGAAGTAAAATTATGGGAGTCTCAGAACATGATCTTTTATGCCAAGAAGACCTTCTTTCCAAGCTGCTTCTTAAGTTTTAAAGGTGGCGAGAAAGCCCTTCATAAGAGAGATTCACTGAAATTCAGCTCACAAGTAGATCTGGGGATTGCAAACTACGTCTCAGGAGATTGTGGATGTGAGATGCTTTTGGCCAAAATATAGGAAAAGTACTTTGTTTTCTGATCTCTCTCTTATACGAAAGCTACTTTATGGACTTGACATTCATAGTATTAATGCTTGACTAACTGTTCTCTCAATTTTGCTTCAGGTAGAGTGTGGGACTGACTTTTCCCAGAAGTCCTTAGATTGTTTATATGCAGTGGTCAATTGCTTCATCAGATTTAACTCCGGCTTTTGGTAGTGTTTGCCTTCATGGCCAATCTTATTTTTAATATTTTTGAGAGCAAGATAATAATGACGATAATAATAATAATAATAATAATAAACCTTTTGTAAAATTATTCCATGAAGGGAAAGCTCCTCAGCATAACTGCTCAGGGAAATAGGGCTAAATAACTATTCAGTCATTGGTTCAAGGTGCTGTTAGACAAACCTTCACAAATGTTGCAAGAATCTAATAAAGGGTGGACTTCAATTCAATTTCATTATCTTGGCCCAGGCAGTCCTCGTTGTTGTTGTTGTTATTCTTATTTTCTTAAAGGGATATTACAAGAGATATTACAAGCTACTGGATGTACTGTCAGATTAACTTATTTCATTTAAGAAGTTGGGAGAACAAATAGGAAAAAAAACTTATTTTTCTAGTAAATATTAATGTATTACATTTCAAATAATGGTGCCTGACATATTGAATAATTATTTTCTACAGTGTACGTATGCAACAAAGATATTCCATCATGCATAAGATTCAGCGCTGGCTCAGCCTCGCTCTGTTTACATTTGCAAATGTAGCAAACAAGGTAATGAAGCAACTTTCTATTGCAGTAGGTATCTTTGATTTGTGCGCGTGTGTGTGTGCATTAAAATTGTAAACGGTAACATGAAATGAATGGACTTTGTTGATAATAATGATATTTGGGGGGGAGAAGAAGACGAAGACGAGACGGCGAAGACGAAGAAGGAAATGAAAATATTTTTATGCCTACTTAGGAGGAAGAAAAAGAGTAGCACTATTCATTCCAAGTACTTTTTGTATTCTTAAGATCTTAACTCACATTGTTATGCTTAAAATGATAAACATATATCCTCTTTTTATTGCTTTGTCTATGTTTCAGCTGAAACATTTCAGAGATTATGTCAAGAGGTGCCATCTGACTGCTTGGCACACAAGTTTTTAATTGCATTCTGTACTAGCATTGCACTCCATTTTTACCATATTACACCGTCGCTACATGTTTTCTTGTTTTGTTGCGCTGGGGCTTTATTTTTTATTTTTATTTTTTTTTGCATTGCACGGTCTTAGTCTCTTACGGTTGTGGAGTATAACTGGTTCCTAAATGTCACTGAGAATGAAGATTAAAATGTCTGATATTCCATTCTTCTTTTCCATCTCTCTCTTTATTTTTATTTTTTTGAAAATTTTCTAGGGATTTCCAGGCTCGATCTTCAAAATAGGAACTTATGTGGAAGGTCCTTCTTCTGAGCCCACCTACAGGCTATTATTCCCAATTAAAACTACCCTTAAAATGATTTAGACCCATCTAGGGTCTAAACCTAAATCTAAATCTAAAAATTTAGACCCATCTAATCTAGGAAATGAGCATTTAAATTTATATGGCAAGATAAAATGGAGAGAAGTCACCCCAGTTTAGAGTTACAAGACCAGAATCTTAAGAAGAATTAAAACTAGCATTTATTTGCTAGGGGCTCAATTTGTAGAAAGTAAATGGGGCCTTGTTTAACTCTTATCTCAATTTAACTTCCCATTAAACCTCCTAAATGCAACAGCTAAGGGTGTAGTTTTAAATGTACGCACTAAGGAATAAAAGCTTCATTGAACACAGTGACATAAATTCCTGCATAGGATTGTACTGTGTGTCACCATTATAAAGGGTAAATTACTGGGATCCATCTGGTTCCTTCTGAAATTCAATCAGCTTTTGGAAAACAAAAATAGGGCATTCACATCATACCACTACCAATTGGTACTATCCTTAGTTTGCAAAACATAAATGCAATTTGACCTGCCATGAATTGCAAACCCCATGATGATAGCGATTACTCATAACTATGCCTCTAAAATTTATATTGAAAGCAAACAGCAGGAAACCTCAATCTGCCTGAGTGACAGTCCTATAGCTGGTCTCCAAAGATCTGGCTGACCTTGGCAGTTTTTTAGAGCCTACATAGGAAACCTGTGATGAAAGTAATTCATCCACTTAATTAAAGTGAGTCTATTATTTGATACCAAGACTAAGGATCTTCTCTTGTACCCTTTCTTCAACTTATTGAACTTATATTGCTCTGAACCAAGCCATTATGTCCTGTCAATTACGTATAACAATCTTTCAGATGCTAAATTTGTTATACTATTTTAGTATCTATCTGGGATTATAATCCCACTAATAATTGTGGGATTATTAAACCACAAGACAGATAGTGGGTTGCATCTCAAGGAAGAATAATGTTGCTTATATTTACAGTCAAGAAAGAATGGCATTCCACATTCTTTCTGAAAATCATCTACTTTAGGACCTTGAAGTATGTATCATTTTTCTTCTCCAATACTTATAGCAGTGGCAGGATTTGAAATACACTTTTTTTTTTTTTTACAATTTGCTCTTGTTTCATTAACAATCGAAATTATATTAGGTGGTGAACCCAAAATTAAAATGCCCCAAATTAATCTGAATCACAATTTCACTTTTTTTTTTTTTAAAGGCAATTACTTAAAGATATATTTGAATGCATAATAGGAAATGAAATAAGCATTTTAAGGCTTTTTTTTTTTTAAAAAAAAGGGTATAAAATATGCATTCCATTCAAGGAAATTAGACAGTACATAACTGCAGTCCACTCAGGACATTTTATTAAGAAGGGTGATAGCTTGCTGATGGTGGCCCACTTGCAGTATGCCCCCTTCAGGTTTTTCATTGGATGTTCAATTGTCATTTAAAATGTTCCCAAATTTATCTTCACAAACATACAAGGAATACATGCTATTAGTATTCTAACTGTTCCAAAAAAAAAAAAAATGCATCCCACATTGTATTTTTCCTAGTGAAATATTTGCAAAGGCACTGACAAAATTGAAATTCCATTTCAGCTATTTAAAAAAAAAATACTTAACCTAATTAAGTATAAAAGTTATACTTGGGCTATCTCTATTTTATCTATACTTATATTTTGGCTGTCCTAGGATGATCTCTTCCAGCTATGGATTTAATTTGCCACTCATGGAATTGCTCCTCAAAGAGAAGCTGTTTTAAAGCAAAAAGTCTTAGGGAGCTGAATAGAATCTAAGATTTTTTTATATTCCTTATCTTAACAGTGGGCCACTAATGCTGGATGCAGAGTAAGGCAGTTGGAAATGCTGCTACCATCTAAAAAGATCCAGATGCTTTTGCACAAAAAAATAGATTTGTTATTGTAGATGGAACAATATGTCTGTTGTAATGCATAACCTTTGTACTTTTTTTTTTAAATTAAAATATTAAATAGCCTGATCCAACTTGTCTAAACTGATAGATTATTTTTGGTGGGGATGAATGGGGACTTAGATATTCTACACATTATTCCTACACAGCAACACTTTCTTTTTTTACCCATGTTCCCTCCAATATATTATGTAGAGTTACGTTGCATATTTTAGAAAAGTTTTCTTTCACAGTACTGGAAAAAACAACGCTATAGACATGATATTTCTTTATGTTAACTAACCTATTCTCATGCTTTATGCAAGTAGGTTTCCCCTTCCCTTTCTTCTCATTATATCCTCCGTGTTGTATTAAAAGTGTTCTAGGAAGTCCTTGAATCTCCCAGAGCAAAGTAAGGCCAAGAAGCAAGGCCAAGAGAAATCCAATCTGGAACTAAGGAGAAATTTCCTTGAATATTACAAATTAACAGAGTTGGAAAGGACCTTATAGGTGATCTAGTCCAACCCCCCTCTCAAGCAGGAGACCCTACACCATTTCTGACAAGTGTCAGTCCAATCGTTTCTTGAAAATCTCCAGTGATGAAGCTCTCACAACTTCCGAAGGCAAGCTGTTCCATTGGTTAATTGTTCTCACTATCAGAAAGTTCCTCCTCTTTCTAGGTTGAATCTATCCTTGTTCAGTTTCCATCCATTATTCTTTGTCTGGCCTTCAGGTGCCTTGGAAAATAGCTTGACCCCTTCCTCTCAGTGGCAGCCTCTCAAATATTGGAACACTATCATGTCTCCCCTGGTCCTTCTCTTCACTAGACTAACCATGCCCAGTTCCTGTAAACGTTCTTCATATGTTTTAGTCTCCAGTCCCCTAATCATCCTGGTCCCCTAATCATCCTGCTTTCTCCTGATGGGAGAAAGATCAATCAATGGAACAGCTTGCTTCCCAAAGTTGTGGGTGCTCCATCACTGGAGGTTTTCAAGAAAAGATTGGAGAGCTATTTGTCTGAGATAGTGTAAGGTCTCCTACCTTGGGCAGGGGGTTGGACTAGAAGACCTCAGTTTTTTTCCGATCCTATGATTCTATCATAGGTATCATAGCTAAGTTTTATTTCTATCTCTTTGAACTTAATTATGCCTAAATAGGATCTCATTGTCGAAAAAGTAGTTCAATAATGGATGGCAATTACAGAACCACCCCATTCATTGAAAATGGTAAGGAGAACCATTAATGTTCTTTTATTTTGCTTTAGAAGATCTATAAACCATCCAAAAGAATAGGCTGGATTGTTACTCCTGTATTTTTTATGAAACCAAGCTCCATGGACAATAGCAATAGCACTTAGACTTATATACCCCTTCACAGTTCTTTTACAGCCCTCTCTAAGCGGTTTACAGAGTCAGCCTATTGCCCCCAACAATCTGAGTCCTCATTTTACCGATCTCGGAAGGAAGGAAGGCTGAGTCAACCTTGAATCAATAGTTATGATATGGACCTTCTGCTCAGTTTTCTATTGCCATTAAGGTCTATAGTTGAGGGACCAGGAGTGACCATCCACATTGGACAAATTATAGATTATAGAATAGTTTGAAAATATATAAAGGACAAAATAAAAAGGTTCAGCACTACATTTTCCATATTTGATCTTGGTCATTGCGATTCCAACTAGCTGGCTTGGTTGACCAAATATTGCATGTTTAACATCTGAATAAAAATGCAAAATAAAATCTTAAAGTGGAAATATTTTTCCCGATAGCTACCCAATTAATGGAAATTCTTTTTTTTCCCTTCGCAACGACCCATTTTCTTGTCTAAACAGTTGAATGATAACAGCTGTCACTTTGTCAGCCAAAAATTAAAATAAATATTTGGACTAATAAGATGTTTGATGAGCTCTAAGTATGCAGTGAAAGAGATTCCAAGGACTTTATAGGTATTGGAGGGAACAACTGAGCCCAGTGTGATCCTTACTCATTCAGACACACACACATAAAAAGAAAGAAGATAGAGAGATAATAGAGTATAAGTGCAGTGCCAACTAAACAAATCTCATTCCCATACCCCACCCTTTTTTTCCCTAGATTTCTAGAAAACCTGTTATCTAGACTTCTAGATTTCATACACCTGGTTATATCCAGTTTTAATTATTGATATGCCAAAGATTTGGATATTTGCTCATTTCCCATCAAAGATTTTGAATATTTGCTCATTTCCAATCAATGGGGCATATCTTGCCCAGTTGAAAAGAATTTATTCTTTCAGTTTTTCCATGAAGTGAAAAGTCAATCTTTTTCAGTGCAGTTTCCATTCCGATTTATAGGATGTAGACTCTCAAACAGGTTCTTTCATGAGTTGAAGTCCACAAGTCTTGAAGTTGCCAAGGTTGGAGACCCCTGCTCTAGATGAGTTAGAACTAAAGCTCTCAGAAACCTCATTCAAGGTTGGAAAAGTCTTCCTTTGCTTACAAAGAATATTTTCTTCCCCTAGAAGATCACTTTGATATGCAGGGTTCTAAATACACCATATTGAAATATTGTATCCATAATTTTTTTTTTCTTAACAACTAAAAAGATTATATGCAAGATAATTTAATAACCAAGGAGACAACTAGAGTAATAAATACCGTAGAGAAGGGGGAAAGCCTATCTGGCTGAGATGAATCATCTAAAAATCAAAAACAGTGAACCCAAACTAAACCTATCTATGCTTAAATGCAAAATTGTCAAGAAAACATTGTGTTCTCAGCTACCACAACCCATTGTTACAGCCTGGTGGCCTCATCTTTCTAAAAATGCCAGAGATTACAACAATACGGAACTTCAAACAGAAAACCCAAGTTGCAAACTTCTCCATAGCGCTAATTCAAATGATACACAAAGATACACCATTTGACTGTACGAGCCTCATTTAATTGAATGGAAACTGAGCTAGGATGAACTAGCAGACTTTCAGTAGATTGTGCCCCATGGCATAAATACTCCATAAATACTCCATCCTACTCCCCTTATTCTACTCTGGTATCTAAAATCCTCTGCCCCCCCCCCACTAGATTCATGGTATGAATGCTTCTCTCCTTTTCTAAGTATATTCTGATTTGCTGGAGTAAGCCCATCTCAGAATATTGTTGATTTTAATGTAACACGGTAGCAATATTCAATAATGGAAGTTTCAAATATTTTCAAGAATATTTTTTTTTTTTAAATGTAGGACTGCATCTAAAATGCTCATCACTGCTCTAGCCTATAAAATAGGACAGTATTTTGCTTTTGTTTGTGTTTTCTGTTTCTGCTTCCCCTCCTCCATCTCCCCCTATTCCCTCTCTGTCTCCCACCCCAGTCTTCATATTGCATGTTCATTTCTATTCACAACCGTGTTCCTGGTGTATTTCTTATGCAAACAATTCTTCAGGCAGCAAAAGATGTCTGTTACATCTAAACTTGAATAATAAAGTTTTACCACCAGTTATAAAAAAAAAATATGTGGTGTCTTATTTTTAATAATGAATGACAGCACTGAAATTGTAATACAGTGATTATGATATGTCTTTTAATAGTGAGAAAAAAGAATGTTCACATAGCAACAGAATTTACAGATTGTTGTTCTCCAGAACAAATGGGTATGTTCTTTGTTTTCATTGTCCTCCTTTTATATCAAACATGTAAGGATATGCAGGGACCATTTAATGCCCATCCCCTAAAAGCTCTTATCTTGGAAAGATCTGTTGCCCTGGTGGCAGCTACTCACAGAATAGATGTTTCTCATAATAATCCTATTAATTATATTGTAAATAAAGGTTAGATAATAACTCATAGATGGATTCCTAATTTGCTCTATGATCATAGCCAGAGAGTAATCAGAAATGATGCTACATCAGTTTAGAAATAGTTTTCAGTACCTGAAGTGTTGAGTCTCTAGAAAGAGTGCAGAGAAGAGCAACAAAGATGATTAGGGAATAAAATGCTTAAAAAAATATGAAGAATAGTAGCAGGAATAGGTTATGAGTAGTTTAATGAAAATAAGGCCTAAGGGAGATATGATAGCAGTATCTAAAGGGCTGCCACAAGGAAGAGCGGATCAACCTATTTGGGACAAGAAGCAATGGGTGGAAACTAATCAAGGAGAGAACCAACTTAGAACTAAGGAGAAATTTCTTGACAGAACAATTAATCAGTGGAACAACACCTGCAGATGTTGTAGGTGCTCCAACATTGGATGTTTTTAAGAAGAGATTGGACAACCATTTCTCTAAAATGGTATAGGGTTTCCTTCTTGAGCAGAGTGTTGGA